TCTTTCACTTCCTTGGTTAGAGTAACCCCAAGATATTTTATGCTATTTGTGGCTCTCCTGAAAGGTGATGTTTCCCTGATTTCCCTCTCCGCTTCTTTATCCTTTGTGTATAGGAGTGCCACTGATTTTTTGGAGTTGATCTTGTATCCTGCCACGTTACTAAAGGTGTTTATCAGCTGTAGGAGTTATTTGGTAGAGTTTTTGGGGTCGCTTATGTACACTATCATATCGTCAGCAAATAACGAAAGTTTAACTTCATCCTTTCCAATTCGAATCCCCTTGATCTCCTTATGTTGTCTTATTGCTATTGCTAGGACTTCAAGCACTATATTGAAGAGGTATGGAGAGAGTGGATAGCCTTGTTGTGTTCCTGATTTTAGTGGAAATGCTTTCAGTTTCTCTCCATTCAATTTGATGTTAGCTGTCGGCTTGCTGTATATTGCTTTTATTATATTTAGGTATGATCCTTGTATCCCCAGTCTCTCCAACACCTTTATCATAAATGGGTGTTCAATTTTGTTAAATGCTTTTTCAGCATCCAATGAAATGATCATATGGTTTCTTTCTTTCAGTTTATTTATATGATGGATTACATTGATAGATTTGCGTATGTTGAATCATCCCTTCATCTCTGGGATGAAGCCTACTTGATCATAATGGATAATTTTTCTAATGTGTTCTTGGATTCGGTTTGCCAGTATTTTATTGAGAATTTTCGCATCGATGTTCATGAGTAAGATTGGACTATAATTCTCTTTCTTGGTTGTGTCTTTGTGTGGTTTTGGTATTAGGATGACTGTAGCTTCATAAAAAGAGTTTGGCAGTGACTTTTCTTTTTCTATATTTTGGAATACATTAAGGAGTATAGGTATTAGCTCTTCCTGGAAGTTCTGGTAGAATTCTGCATTGAAACCATCTGGTCCTGGGCTTTTTTTGGTAGGGAGATTTTTGATAACAGCTTCTAATTCTTCACGACTAACAGGTCTATTTACATTGTTCACCTGGTCTTGATTCAACTTTGGTATATGGTACTTATCTAGAAAAATGTCCATTTCTTTTACATTTTCCAACTTTGTGGCATATAAACTTTCGTAGTAAGATCTAATGATTCTCTGAATTTCCTCTGTGTCTGTGGTTATGTCCCCCTTTTCATTTCTGATCCTATTAATTTTCAAGTTGTCTCTCTGCCGTTTGATTAGTTTGGATAGGAGTTTGTCAATCTTGTTAATTTTCTCCAAGAACCAGCTTTTTGCTTCATTGATTCTTTGGATTGTTTTCTGTGTTTCTATTTTGTTGATTTCAACCCTCAGTTTGATTATTTCCAGTCTTCTACTCCTCTTGGTTAAATCAGCTTCTTTTTTTTTCTAGAGCTTTCAAGTGTGCTGTTAAGTCTCCAATTTGTGCTTTCTCCATTTTCTTTAAGTGGGCACTTAGTGCTATGAACTTTCCTCTTAGCACTGCTTTCATTGTGTACCATAGATTTGAATACGTTGTGTCTTTGTTTTCATTATATTCAAGGAAGACTTTAATTTCTTTCTTTATTTCTTCCTTGACCCAGGGGTGATTTAGTAGTTGACTGTTCAACTTCCATGAGTTTGTTGGCTTCCTGGGGGTACCATTGCTGTTGAATTCTAATTTTAATCCATGGTGATCTGACAAGACACAGGTGGTTACTAATATTTTTTTGTATCTGTGTAAGTTTGCTTTGTTACCAAGTATATGGTCAATTTTCGAGAAGATTCCATGAGCTGCAGAGAAGAAGGTATATTCTTTCCTATTTGGGTGGAGTGTTCTATAGATGTCTGTTAAGTCCATTTGATTCAGTACCTCCAATAAATCTCTTATTTCTCTGTTAGGTTTCTGTCTGATTGACCTGTCCATTGGTGAGAGAGGTGTGTTGAAGTCTCCTACTATTAGTGTGTGTGGTTTGATGACTGCCTTGAGTTCTAGAAGAGTTTCTTTTACATATGTGGGTGCCTTTATATTAGGGGCATAGATATTCAAGATTGAGACTTCTTCCTGATGAATTGTTCCTGTTATGAGTATGAAATGTCCATCTCTATCTCTTCTGATTGATTTTAGTTTGAAGTCGATTTTGTTAAATATTAGAATGGCCACACCCGCTTGTTTCTTAGGTCCATTTGCTTGGAAAACCTTTTCCCAACCCTTTACTCTGAGTAGGTGTCTGTCTTTGTGGTTGAGGTGTGTTTCTTGTAAACAGCAGATTGTTGGATCCTGTTTTCGTATCCAATCTCTAAGTCTGTGCCTCTTTATAGGTGAGTTGAGTCCATTGATATTAAGTGATATTAATGACCAGTGATTGATGTCTCCGGTCATTTTTTTGGGTAGTAGAGTGTATGTGTTTTCCTTCTTTGAGTTGTGCTTGTGAAGGGTCGCTAGATGTCTGAGTTAATGTAGGCAGTGTTTGGAATGTTGGATTCCTTGTGTTGTGATTTTCCTTCTAATATTCTCTGTAAGGCTGGATTAGTAGCTATGTATTGTCTAAATTTGTTTTTATCCTGGAATATTTTCTTTTCTCCGTTGATAGTGAACAATAGCTTGGCTGGGTAAAATAGTCTGGGCTTGCATCCATGGTCTCTTAGTTTCTGCAGTACCTCTATCCAGGACCTTCTGGCTTTCATGGTTTCCATAGAGAAGTCTGGTGTAAGTCTGATAGGTTTACCTTTATAAGCTACTTGACCTTTTTCCTTTGCAGGTCTCAATATCCTTTCTTTAGTCTGAATGCTTTGTGTTTTGATTATTATATGACGAGGGGATGTTTTTTTCTGATCCAGTCTATTCGGTGTTCTGTATGCTTCTTGAACCTTCATAGGAATATCGTTCTTTAGGATGGGAAAGTTTTCTTCTATAATATTGTTGAATATATTTTCTGGACCTTTGAAATGCAATTCTTCTCCTTCTTCTACTCCTTTTATTCTTAGATTTGGTTTTTTTTATTGTGTCCCACAGTTCCTGAATGTTTTGTGATGAGAATTTGTTGGATTTGCTGTTTTCTTTAGTCAGAGTGTTTAATTTCTCTATGGTGTCCTCAGAGTCTGAGATTCTTTCTTCTATCTCTTGTATTGTATTGGTTATGCTTGTTTCTGAAGTCTCTGTTCGTTTACCTAGATTTTCCATCACCAGCCGGCCCTCCGTTTGTGATTTCTTCATTGATTCCATTTCAGTTTTCAAATCTTGAACTGTTCCTATTACCTGTTTGATTGTTTTTTCTTGGTTTCCCAGAATTTCATTTACGGATTTACTCATTTCTTCAAACTTTTTGGTATATTTCTCTTCCATTTCTTTACTCATTTCCTCAATCTTTTTGTTACACTTATCTTCCATTTCTTTATGGCAGATTTTCACCTCCTGTTTAAGTTCCTCTATTATTTTCATAAAGAAGCGCTTAGAGTCAATTTCTTCTATTTCTTCTGGAGTAGGGTGTTCAATTCTTCTAGTTTCGAGCTCCCTGGATTCTGGAGATGTCATGTTGCCTTTCAGGTTGTTGGAGGAATTCTTGCATTGGCGCCTGCCTATCTCCTCCACTCTGGATGAAACTCCTCAGCACTTTCTGGATAGAACTCCTCAACACTCTCTGGGTAGGACTTCACAGCACTCTCTGGATAGAGCTCCTCAGCCCTCTCTGGGAAGAGCTCCTCAGCAATGCAACAGGGCTAGCTGGTCTTCCCAGGACCCAGGAGACAAAGGGTCTGCAGCAGTGGGGGGAGGGGAGGGGTCCCTTGGAACACCGAAGACCCTGCCGCAGAAGCTGAGAGGGGATGGGCTGTGCTCTCTTCCGGGACAGGCAGGCTGCCCAGGCGAGCACCCACTCACCTCTCTGGGAAGAGCTCCTCAGCAGTGCAACAGGGCTAGCTGGTCTTCTCAGGACCCAGGAGACAAAGGGCCCACAGCAGTGGGGGGAGGGGAGGGGTCCCTTGGAACACCGAAGACCCTGCCGCAGAAGCTCTCTGGGAAGAGCTCCTCAGCAGTGCAACAGGGCTAGCTGGTCTTCCCAGGACCCAGGAGACAAAGGGTCCGCAGCAGTGGGGGGAGGGGAGGGGTCCCTTGGAACACCGAAGACCCTGCTGCAGAAGCTGAGGGGGGGGCTGTACTCTCTTCCCGGACAGGCAGGCTGCCCAGGCGAGCACCCATTCACCTCTCTGGGAAGAGCTCCTCAGCCTTTATCTTTCAATTTTAGATAGATAGATAGATAGATAGATAGATAGATAGATAGATAGATAGATAGATAGATAG